AAGAAATCAGGAAGGGGGCAAACACTTTTTCACACCACTGTATATACACATTTACTTCTGTACACATTAAAAAATGGTTATTCAACTTCAGAAGTCAGTTTTAAATTCTTGCAACATGAATCAATCAATTTACAAACCTGCACACTAGTCCAAGGTTTGGAAACATTTGAGAAAGACAGAAAGTACGTTCTAAACAAACTACAAAAACAGACGACAGTTTATATATTCATTTTCCAGAATAAACTCAAACAAGAAGCAGTGTTATTGGATTTATGATGTTTGAGTAAAACAGAATCAAAGTAAGAATTCCCTTTTTGAATTTTGATATTTTAGTTATGTAAATATGTACCACTGCTCTTTTTTCAGCAAAAGCTCAAGAGGAATCAATAAATATTTCAGCCATGCATTTATATCACCATATAATAAGGAAGAAAAAGGCTTAGGGAAGGTCAGTTTTATCTCAGCTCCTCTCAACAAAGAACATTAATGATTCAGCATGAATTGTTTCACTAAACTCCATTAATCACCACTAAGGGACATAACCCTTTCACCTCTCTAAAAACATGTCAATATGTGCTTTGGGCAATTGTCTATTATCGGAGTCAATTACTCTAAATGTGAATTTGTTCTTTTCACATTGTGGTTTAGTTCCTATTTATACTACACTTATGATTCACATCTCAACAAAAAAAGTAAAATAAAGTATCTTATACACTACATTTAATTACTTTATCAGCTAATGTATAATTAACACTTAGAGGGCATTCCATAAATTCATTAAAAAGTTAACAAGTGTTCATAATGGAAGTCTTGGTACTATTTTTTTTTAGCCAAGAACATTATCATTAAATTAATACAATTTTAGCGTACGTACAGTAAGTACAAAACATTCTTGTATTATTTGACTTTTAATTAAAAGTAATTTTAATTACGTTATATAAAAATTGCCTCATTTATATTATATTTCAAGAGTTGAAATGTGGTGCTTCATCTTTGAAATAATGAATATTCTATTTAATTTTCCTTAATTAAAAATGCATTTCAATAATGACACTGAACTGTAAAGGCAGTCCTGTATTTACCTCAGTACTCCATCCAGGCTTGTGGACTGCTGAAACTTCATGAAAAAAATAACTGCATAAAAGTTACTTTGTTCAGTGAAAATTATATTTTCTATTCCATCCATCCATGTTAAAATATGTTTAACTGGATTTGTTGCTATATATTACCTAAAAAACAACATCAAATAATAATTATAAAACTAAAGACTGTACTAAGTATTTGTTAATATAATCATAAATCTGATTTTTTTTCATATCGATTGAAACCTCTTGTGAAAAGGTTTTTCATCTTTGATTCCTCGGTTGATCAAACTTTTAATATACTTTATAATCTATACCTACAGTAATTATGTCAACCATTCATACATAATACACATGGAGTATATCTGGTTAGGTATAGTCAATATACAGTACACACTCAAATTTATCCTCTGTGTACTGTATACCTGTATATTGTACATAAAAAGCTCCTTTATGTCAGAAATGTTTCTTTTTGCTTTTTGATTTTTATAAGGTGTTTCTTCAGGCAGCACATTACATACCAGTGTCATGACCCCCATGCGATCCATCTCTCGGGCGGGACTGCGAGGTGTCAGTTTGGGTGTTGAGTGACCACTTGGAGGTGAGGAACTTGCCAAGGAAGATGCAGTTGCTGAGCCGGTAATTGATGTCCCAGGGTGAACACGAGCTAAATTCAGCCCTTCCAAACTGACGCTGGCTACGCGGTTTTCAATCTCTTCTGCACGCAGCTCTGTTGACTCTTTCTCTTCCTGAATTAGCCTGAGAACAGACAGTAATTGTTTCTAAAAAAACATCCAAATAATGGTCTCCATTGATTTAATGCATAATGATCACATTTTTGTACATGTCTTCTTCCCATCTCAGTTTTAGTGAAGAAACCAATATTTGAAAGGTCCATGAGGTTCAACATACAGTAAACTCCTTCACGTATTTGGAAACCTCAAGCAACAAAATAAAATCAATGAGTCTTGGCTATAACGCAAGCTTGAATCCTGCATGCACCTCCCACCCAGGAACCTGAGTGACCTTAAGTGTTAACGTACAAGAACTTAAGGACTGTTATATTGTAGCGCCACGCAGGGCGCTTTGGTCATGCGCACGCAAGGCGGGCTGAGAACAGCGCCTGGGGCGGGACTACTGGATTGTATATAGTGGGATGGAGGCTGGGAGACAGTCTCTCCCTTCGTGTGTGTGAGTGTGTGTTAGTCTACTGGAGGTGCAGCACTGTAACCCCTGTCCCTGTGTGTGTACCTTTCCCCAGTTTGAGTTAATAAATGTGTTGTTCAACCCCATTCCCTGAGTCCTACGCCTGCTCAATTCCGTACTGAAGTCCACGATCGTTACAATTAAAAGTGAATTTATATTTAAGTGCCCAGGATTACTTTATTACATTACTGAAGCTTTGTCAGTTGATGGTGAGCACCATATTTTTTGTTTAACCATATTTACATTTCATTATTATATTACATGACTTAATTTAATTTTGTATCATAGTGTTGTTGACCTAATCATTTTGCTTTAGGCTGTGTGTCACTGCATATCAGTTTGTCATCTGTCCGAAAAATCCTCAGAACTGGAAGGAGTTTACTGTATATAGCATTGTAGTTTGCACCCTATATACAGGTAGTGAACACAAAAAGTAAAATACCTGGTTAAATGAGAGACACCAAGAATATTGAAAACAAGGGCTTCCACACAGGTGTGGCTCATACGTTAAAGAAAATAACATTCCAACTTGCTTTGGGTTATGTATCAAAATGCTGGGCAGACCCTGGCTGCCAACTCCAGATCAATTAACTACAAATTTAATCTTGAATTGGCATTCAACTTGAATGGACTTGAATGGACAATTTAATAAAAAATCATCTGCTGAGAACAGAGCTGGATACCACAATTGGGCTGCAGTGCACAAACCACTCATCATACCGCACAATGCACTTTACAAGTCTATTGGTTCACAGAGTAAATATAGTAGACCACTAAGGGTGGGAAAAAATGATATGGTCAGATGAATCATCCTTCACAATAAACTCAAAACAAAGAATGTGTGATGCCAACCTAAAGAACTCTGCTGCACTGTTGTATAATGTTGTGCAGTGTGTTTTCCTGATGTGCTTAAGGTGCACTCATTCTCATAGAAGGCAAGGTCAATGCTAATCTTAATGGTACTGAGTGACTACTGTATGTTCACCCTTTGTTACAACATTTAATCCTCATGAATGGCAATGCCCCATTCACAAAGCATGTGTGGATTGGTGACCATAATAATGATACTATTCATCTGCCTTGACCTTCTCAGTCATCAGATCTGAATCCAATTGAGCATTTCAGGGCAGCATTTATGGGATGCCTTCAACCAGGTGTGAGTTGATTGACTTTCTTATGGGTGCCATAGTCCTCCTACAGAATTCAAGAATCAAGTATGCTAAGGTGCAAAAATGCCATACTAGCTGCACAAGATAGCCCAAGTTCTGTTATGTGACTTTACATTGGCTTTCCTGCTTTTTTGTCCATAATCTATACATATCTTTGGTTTAATTGTAGGTTATACCATTTTTCAATGCTCTATTCAGTAATGAACTGTGTATTACTGTACATTTTCAACCTCTTTTTTAACATGAAAATAAAGATGAAAATATTAGCATATTTGGAATCACAAATCAGTAGGTCACACAATAATTTATAATTTTCACTACAAAATGAAACTTTTTCCTAGTCAAACAAATCTCATAATTACTGTCTCATAATGACTGTTTAACTATTCATCTTTGTTTCTTGTAAACGTCAAGAGTCTACATAATAAAGCTACAATGTATGCCTAATTGATTTTCCAACATAGTATGAAAGGAGCAATGTTGTACATTGGCATTTTAAAGTGAACAATATCCTTTTTTTGATCTCATCTCTATGAGAACCCTTAGACATTGCAGTACTGTTTAGCAGAGGTTTATTTAAATGATTGATTTGATTAAGGGTGGATTTATTCATACTCAAAAAGAATTTTAACTTGAACTCTTCTCATCATTTCTACTTAGTTTTATCCACAGTTGCATTGGAAACAGCTTAGGAGACCCAAAGGGCTGTCTAATTAAATGTATAGTAGAAGGAAGAAAAGGGTAAGAAGCTAGGTCATTTCTCACAACCACACAGGAGATACATTATTCTTTCTAATGAACTGAAAATGAAATCCCATAAGCTCAATAAAGGAACCTGTTTTTGGTGTTATAATAGTGAAAATTTTGTTTTCTATGGACTCCATTTGGATATTAAGTAATCATAAACAAATATACATCATTGCAAGAATATACATACACTTTCCAGCGCTGTTTCTAATATAAAATTGTATAAGCATATGCCATAACAGTTGTCTAATTGCATCTCCTGGAACATGTTGGCAACAAAGCAGTAGTTAAATTGGATACTGTATTTGGAGAACTTCTCACAGATGTACAAGTCAATAAAGAGAGCATGTTTTGCACGATGAAACAGAGAATCTGGCAACCTTGGAGACCAATCCCATTAAATACTTTCTTCATCGACATTGTCTATTGAGACGAAGGGAAGGATGTAGTCTTCCACATGTAGCAAATCATTATGATCCCTGATGGTTACAGGAAGTGGCCTAATAAAGGGATCCAAGATCTACTTTTTAGTCTTTTTAACAGTAAACCCACTACTAAACTGTGGAGAGCATTACCATAACTAAGCCTTCAATTTATTGACCATACAGTTAAATGATGCTGGTATGCTTGGGAGTGCATGTCATGCATGTTTTGCCTAAAACATCTACATTTAAATTACAATGTCCTCATTTAAGTCTTTTATCAAAGCATATATTAACATAGAGTTGCTTATTATAGGCTCATTATTGGCTTTTATCAAAGCATACAATACTGTACATCAAGACACTGTACAGTACAGTTGCTACTGCAGAGTTGCTATAGTGACATTTTTAGTACTTACTTTCTAACAGCCTATGAGCATTTTACATTACATTTCAGAACTATTTTAAAATATAATACCTAAATATTGTGATATAGGGATACCTGTTCTAAATTTGATGAAGCATTCTATCAAATGGTAGATAGGATTGTGTCATGAGTAACATTATTTGACAAGGTGTCCCAATATCCCAACTTGGATATTATCCTGTTTATAGGCTTTAAATAACAAAAATAAACATACTATCTTCATGCCATGTTGATTTTGTTTGTGGAATACACACTGTAGGATTCTAGAGAATGATGCAGTTTTATTCTTTATTCCATCATCATATAATTAAGTATATTTTGGGTTAAGGGTCAATACATAGAATTAAAAAGAAGACCACAATCTTGACCACTAACTTATGCTTTTAGCTTCAAGTGAAACTTCAATCTTTGTCTAGAAGACTGATTAATTTCATGAAAAGACCTATGCTCTTGTCTTCTATTATAGCTATTCAGCATGAGAATATTTATTCAGCTGTACAGAAGCTCTTTGATTGCACTATTTAATAGAACAATCCCCAGTCAATAAACTGTGAATATGTGAACCAGTATAACCTGGTAAAGATGTACTGCTAATTAAAGAGTCTCAGTTTAATTGAATTTGATTTTTCGCAGAATCTGAAGGGACAAATTGTAATTATCTGACCAGGTGGCATTAGCAGAAAAGCACAAAAAACAAAGACAAATTAGCCCTGTTTGATTCTCTTAACTGCTATGAGTCACCAGTGAACATTTAAATCTCAAAATAATGGCTTGGCTTGAAGGCTAGTATAATGGCACTTTTGAGTAAAATTACTGTACAGCATGTGGGGGGATTTAATCTGGAATTTAGCTCAAATAAGTATAGGTAACTAATGTTGCTGAAGGAATAACAATTTCTACAAAGTGTAACAATACAATTTTCCACTTATAATGCTGTATTGAGTTTTGACTTAAGTAATACTGAACAATCTCAAAATCCCATATATAGTAACTGGACAGATGTTGTGTGTGGAGGAGCTAACCTGATCTCTTTGTTGATGGCATCTAGCTGTTCTTGCAGCATCATGGCCAAGGTCTGGGCATCAGAGTGGCCACCAGGTGAAAGGAGGTCCATAGAGCTAAAGATCGTTTCTCTGTCGTCATCATCAATGTCAGACATTTCAGTGTCGCTCTCAAAGTGGTGGCTGCCAAGGACATTGATTGGCTGAGAACGGGCCCACTCGTGTTCCCCCAGCGACTTGGCCTGGAAGAGAACGATGATTTGTTTCCTTTTTAAAGCTGATTTGTACACCAATATACTCTAATAATTCAAGCTCAGAAAAACAAAGAAATGTTTACTTTACACATAAAATATGTTTTAATGTTGCAAGGTTCTTAACCGTCCAAGGATGTTTACATGAACATCCATGTTTCATGTTTTTTTACAATTAACAGGTTTTAAACTATGCATAGTTTGAAATGAAGCATCAAATTTAAAAGTCATCATCTCAGTTTTCATGTTCAGAGTTTTCTTTTTTGTATTTCGTTATTACTGTAAATACAATGAGTCAACAAAATTTTTAGGGATATTACCTGGGTTAAAAGTCTCTTTGACTTTGCTTGCTAAACTATATCAACTGAATAGGGTATTTTACCTAGTTTGATGGCAGAGAAAAAATGTTTCCTGTCACTTTTTTATTCAAGTGTAAATATAAATTAAGGGCAGGTGCTAGCATTGATTCCTCACAGGGCTGGGGTGCTGAGTTCAATTCCTTGGGTGCCATCTACAGTATGCAGAGTTTGTACGTTCTCCCCATTTTCATGTGGGTTTCCTCTGGGTGTTGTGGTTTCCTCCCACAGTCCAAAAACATACTGGTTAGGTGAATTAGCTTCTGGAAAAATTGGCCTTGATACGAGTGGGAGCGTGTCTGTGTTTGTGTCAGTCTGTCCAGGGTGTCTGGCACCTGTTGTTTGACAAGATAGGCTCCGGTTCCACAGTAGAACCCTGAACTGGAATAGTAGGTTAGAATGGATGGGTGTAAAAAGACGGCACAAAAGCATATGCCTTTTATATAAATATTTTTCCTTCTGGACTATGTTATTTCCATTCAAATTCACATGCAGATAAGCAGTGCTGTCTGAGTACATACGTACTCTAAATTTCCCACCACCTGCTGAAGCAAAGGATACTGAAGGACTTACTGTTTGAAACTGGTATCAGATTTACGGTCTTCATCTTTATGTTTACTAATGTGGATTATGTTAATATCAACAGCTACAATTTAGGATGTAGGATGCACAGACTTTCAAATGAATATCATACTGCAATGCTCAAAGTCCAGGTGAATATTTTCATGTCAGAAATCATGCAAAATAAAGGGGTACTAAATTAATCCCCATTTTTTAAATATTTCCCTCCTGTATCATAACAAAATTGTAGTTATATACTGTATTGTAACGCATACGGCCAACATTGCAGGTTGTGCGAGCCAGCTTACCAGCGCAGTGACGTCACCGCCCTTCCCTGTAATTAGCAGGGACTGCAGCCATCAGGCTGAGGGGAGATTTTCCTTTAGCTCAACTGGCTGGGTCCCTGTTGAGTGACACCGGAGGCCCAGGTTCGAGTCCCCATCGGTGGGAGGCCGACCTGAGGCAGCAGTGGCGAGGGTGCATACCCACTTGAACCCGAGAGCGCTACATTGGTGTCAGAGTGGGATGTGATAGCCCTTCGCCGAGGACGACGAATTAAGCGGGGGAGAGTGTAACGCATACGGCCACCATTGGTTGTGAGAGCCGGCTTACCAGCGCGGTGACGTCACCGCCCTTCCCTGTGAATAGCAGGGACCACAGCCACTGGGCTGAGGGGAGATTTTCCTTTAGTTCAAGTTGCTGGGTCCCTGTTGAGTGACGCTGGAGGCCCGGGTTTGAATCCCTGACGGTGGGGGGGCGACCTGAGGCGGCAGTGGCGGGGGCGCATATCCACGTGAACCCCGGAGCATTACAATATTATAATTATACAGTAGTTACCATGTACAATGCGTTTTTACCTGTAAAAGTAGAGCAAAATACTGTAGTTTTTTCACATTAAAAAAGTAGCATTGAATTATATAAATCTGCATATTGCACATGTGAAAGTGAAAATGTGTGAAACAAATAAAGAGAAGAGTATATACTGTATGATTATGCTAACATTGAAACTGCCTGTGGAAGAACAGCGCACCAGAACAGAGTGCAGACATTCAAGAGCCCACCTTTTGTTCATCTCTCCGTATACCCATTCGCCCTCTCCTTGGCCTCCTTATGACTTTGGCAGACCTGTAGTGATCAGACTGTGTGTCTGCAAGGGAACCCATGGAGTATCTCAGCTCTGTTGATGCGTCCAAATGAGACCTGCTGAACATTACTCAGGATTAATACAAGAACATTGTATTTGATAGCTTTTAGACACATTATTAGTATTATTATCAATAATTAACTTTGGAGCACAGAACTTTCTGTCTTGACTATATCAAATCTGAAGAAAGGATTTGGCTACCTGCACATTAAACCCACCATAAAAACTTCTTGGAACCTCTCTCAACAATATACCAAACTGTATAAATCTCTGAAAAGAAGATGGAAGAGTCTGCTCATGGAAGCAAAGAGGAAGCATGTCTGTTACACTGGATGATGTTTTTAAAGTGCAGAGACTAAGTGAACAGAAGTAAAAAAAAAACACAACAAGCTAACATATTGTAAAAAAATGCAGTAACAATACTGAATAAAACTATATAAAAACACCCATAACAGATAAATCATACTTAAATGCTTGCTGCGCATGCAGTACTGTAGCAAATGAAGGCCTCTTACTGTCAGTGTTTTTCTCACACTGTGCATCAAGTGATTTAGGCAGGACACATTCATTACGATTACAGTATATGTTGGAAGATGGTGTTATGATATATGCTGGCTCTGAAAGTTAATCATGGGTTTTTATGTGCTCACTAGAAATAAAAATAGAAAATCTCCACTCATGTTCAGCAGAAGAAAAATGAATCAAGAAAAAACAGTGACCAAGGTCACAAAGAAAACTAATTGCTAGGAGCTGACTGTTGATAAGGAGAGCAAGAATAAGCAATGATACACATATTTAGCATAACAGAATATTTATATTAATGACCTTTTATAAGCATAGCAGAACAATATGATAGTCAATTATATACTCACCTGTGATCATCAGATGAAAACAGAATTTTTAGGTATATTTATGTACTGAGATACCATTACTCATTTCTACTCTATAAATGGTTGCCACTGTGCTTTTGATATTATCTGTGAATAAACCATGTTTTAATGACATGGACAGATTCCTCAGCCATCTACAGAATGTATTTGTGATTTTTCACTGTCAAATTTTTAAAGAACCTCACAGGTGACAAATTACTTTTTGGCAAGAAAACCATCTATTATAAATAAAGGGAAGCTGCATGTGGTTAATGTTTTTAACCATGATATCCTAAAGAACAGATATTAAAGCTAGTGAAACACACTCGAGTAATTTGTACTTTCAATTTCCTCAGTTGAATTATTTATTCAGTACTGTTCTTTGTACGCGATCTGTTCAATACTGTTCTTTGTACACTTTGAGTGACCATTAGAATAACAATGCAACATTAATTTTACTGTCTCTAATGAAAGTGAAAGACTAAGGTCAGCCTCCCTTCTTTTCGAAAGGTATTTAACTAGTAGAGCGATCCACCCCTTTCTAACAAAGGCTTATAGAATGTTTATGAACACAGTGTCATCCTTCAACAGAACATTAGAATCTCAAGTTAATAATGCTGTCTGTATGTGTGCCTCACTTATAAGATAACTTAATTGTCCATATACAATTTATTGTATAAGGAATTTGTCTTTTCGCATACCCAAACTTGCTTTCCATGAGACACACAGACAGGGAGAGAAACTTGGGGTCAGAGCACAGGGTCAGCCATTTATATGGCGCCCCTGGAGCAGTTAGGGTTAATGGCCTTGCTCAGGGGCCCAACAGAGCAGGATTCCTCTGCCCGCCACAGAATACGAACCGGCGCAGATCCTTAGCTGCAGAGCCACTGCCCTGCCCAGTATTGTACTATTCCAGAGAATTTTGTTCCATTCAGCTTGAGGATTTTGAGCTGTAGGGTAAAACTCACAGCTCACTGTTCTTTCAACCCATAGTACAGTACTCTAATGTACTGTAATTTGCATTTTATACTGTATGTGTTTTACACTATATTAGAATTCCTTCTATGTACCTGGATAAGGCAGGTTCTGTTAGTGGCCCAGCTCTCATCTTAAATGCTTCAAGTTCACATCTCAGCTTTTCTATATCCTCAGCAAGACGGTCCTTAAAAAAACAGAGGGATGAACACAAGTCAATATTCTGAAAGCAACAAGTGATACCTGGAGGTTGTCACGACTCACACTCCTCCTCACAAACGCCATGGCATTCCCAGACCCTCTCTTTCTCGTTTTCATTCCCACTGAACCCACCACATTCCCCCTGTGCACCAGATGCCACAGATTCTCACTCCTGAACCAATTTCCTAATCACGTCTCTCTCCCTTCAGTATTTAAACCTCTCTCACTCTCCAAACCATGCTTACCATTGAGAAGCGTCCCGTAGGGTTTTTCTAGTGCGCGTTTTGACCTTCTTGACTGATTTCCCGGTCTCGGATCTAAACTCCTTCCTTTCTGACCTCGCCTTTCAGATATCGTTTTTGGATTGTTTCTCTCGGGTTTCTCTGGTAACCAGATTCGTTGCTTCTCCTACTGACCTGGCCTCTGGATTACGTGTCTCGGATATTTACCCAGCGCTACTCTGCATTCTGCAGGGTTCACGGCATAGAATCCTCCTTTCAACCTATTGGTTCATGACATCTTTCTCTTATCCCTGATTTACTAAAATCTTCACATCTTTTAACAAAGTCCATTGTGTGGGGTTTGTGAGAAAACAAATTTGTATCCTTGACCATCAATATTTAACATAAAATTACTAAGAGACAATAAAACACATAACAGAGAAGGAGTGAAATCCTAACTAAAAATGCCACTGAATTTCACAGTGGCTAAACTTCCCTTCACTTCACATTCACTTGATTTGGGGTTGACGCAATTGATTTCTATGCTTTGTGGCTCAAATTATCAGATTTTTCATGTTTAACCTAAATAATACGGCAGTTATGTCATAACTTTACAATAAGTGAACCTCTGGTTTAGTTCTCATTGTTGAATGTCTACAGTATTTACAATGAAGCATGAAGGAGTACAGTGGATAGCACAAGTAGGCACTACATGAAATGCACTGAAAACACAAAACAGGAAGCACTTCTTTATGCAAGTGGTCTCTTGGAGTATGGAAAGAGCTACCCAGCCATGTTGCCAAAGCTTAAATTTACTTTCACAGCTCAATAAGATCTTCAGATTAATTTGTTACTAAATACTAAATGGGCTAGATGGGTTAAATGGCCTCATCTTGTTCGTAGGCTTTCTTATGTTTTTAAATGCCCACATTCGCTGTGACTTTGGTAGTGATCATGCCTATGTTATATATATCTTTGCTCACAAATTAAAAAAAACTGTACTGAATTCAGTCCCTTATATAATGTATACCCATATACAATGCATTTTGTTGATATAAAATCTACCAAATCACTTCACAAAAACATGTTAACATGTTATATACCGATCATTTATGTGTTTTTAAAAAAAATAGAAGAAATATTTTAATGATATGGTTCTGGTGACCTACTTTTTCTTGGAGTGACTCCTCAAGCTGTTTTCGAAAATTTTCAGAATCCTGTATTAGAACATTCTGTGAAGAGAGTGATTTAAAAAAATAATTTATGGCATAATCTCTGGTACAGAAATTGTAGACAAACTTGTCTTTACCTTTTACAGCAGTTATTTTTAAAAGTACATACAACACAATCAATGACCAAGAACACTACTGTAGGAACTCATTGTCTGAGGTGAATATAAAATAGCTTAAATATATATGAATAAACTTTTAAATCATCTGTCATATTAGGAGATCAGTTTATAAACTACTGTCGGTCATTGTCAGAAATGTCATTTTGATGTTCATGTCTCATTTCTCTAAGAGAATAATGTATAATAAACCACAGACACAAAGAAGAATTAATGTTTTGTAACACTTTCATACAACTCAAAAACTGAAGGGAGACTTCTAATAGCACACAGTTAAATAAAAATTGTTTTGCTTTCATAACTGCTCCATGTTGTGCTTTAAATTTCAAACTATACTGTATATCAGATATCTAATATCAGATGTATTTTAAACATTGTGCAATAAGACTATGTTTAGCTGTGTTTAAATGTACAACTTGGTCAAATATTATTCTCTAGCTTTAAATGAAAATACAGCTTCCTATATAATTATGGATATTCTTTTGTAGAAGGATAGCATTCGCAGTCCAAATGTAAATTGATGTAAAAAGTGCTTAACAGAGTATATAAAACTATACCAACGTTTTGAAGACTTTATAGAATCGGTAATAATTGATACTTACTGTATTTTACAGACAGATACAATTAATTGAGAGATATTGTTGCCTGCAGGCTACAATACTAAAGTCCAAAATGCCACAATGTTGTTGGTGTTTTAAATAAATGTATAAAATATGCACTTTCCCCCTTGTTACCTTTTCTTCTAAAGCAGCCATTCTCTCTTTCAGATGGAGCTGAAGGCGTTCGTTTGATTCAGTAAGAAGTCTATCAACAGTGTCAGAAAGCCTCTTGTTGTGTTCCTCATTCATTTTCTCTCTTTGCCTGGCCTGCATAATTAACAGAGATCAATGCAAGCCTTACAATTTAACCAAGAAAATCAGAAAAACCTTGTTAATCCACTATAATAATGCATACTAAAATACTAAAATAATTATGACAATGAAGGACAAAAAAAGAGCTCTAAGAAACCAGCAAAGCACACATTCTAATCTGATCACTTTGATTTGCATTGCCATGTACAGTAAATAAACATTCCACATACTACCGTCAACAACGGAAGATTTATACAAGCACAATAGTTCTTTAGTCCAGGATGATTTACATCATTTTTTTCAACTGTCTACATATTTCCAAATAAGTCACAGTCTATAAGCCAGCAGCCATATCACCCTGCAACTCACAACTGGCAACCCACTGAAGCTAAGCAGGTGTGAGCCTGGTCAGTACCTGGATGGGAGACCTCCTGGGAAAAACTAAGGTTGCTGCTGGAAGAGGAGTTAGGGGGGCCAGCAGGGGGCGCTCACCCTGCAGCTCATGTGGGTCCTAATGCCCCAGTGTAGTGACGGGGACACTATACTGTAAACAGGCGCCGTCCTTCGGATGAGACGTAAAACCGAGGTCCTGACTCTCTGTGGTCATTAAAAATCCCAGGGTGTTTCTCGAAAAGAGTAGGGGTGTAACCCCGGCATCCTGGCCAAATTTCCCAATCGGCTGTTATCAATCATGGCCTCCTAACAATCCCCCTCTGTGAATTGGCTTCATTACTCTGCTCTCCTCCCCACTGATAGCTGATGTGTGGTGAGCGTTCTGGCGCACTATGGCTGCCGTCGCACATTGGTGGTGGTGGAGGGGAGTCCCCATTACCTGTAAAGCGCTTTGAGTGGAGTGTCCAGAAAAAGCGCTATATAAGTGTAAGCTATTATTATTATTATTATTATTTACCTATGGTTGGAAAATTAAAAAAAATATTTTCAAAAACATATTTTCTGAAACATTTTTGCTTACATGATTTTATGCTAAATAAAATCAAAAAGCTCGCCAGGCTGGTGGATCTGAACACAGGTTATTAGGATCTCCGCACACTTTTACTAAGCAAAGGCTCATCTTAGAGTTACACAACTCTTTATCCTGTGATGGAAACAAAAGCTGAGTACTATACTGTACATGACACTATAGCTTATCTAAAGTTCACTTCATTTCAGGCATCAGCTGTAATCAGACAGCTGCCAGCCTGGGTCATTACAGCCCACATGCAGTGCCCACTCTCTCCACCACACCAAGAGCCAGCCTACAGTACTTGCTGGTTCTGTGGCTGTGTGCTTTACGTCATATTTGTTACATTACATGGTGTTTCAAGGCCACTCACCCTCTGCAGTTCTTGATTCTTTTCCTCCAGCTGCCCCTCCAAATGGCGCATGCGTTCCTCAATGCTTCCATGCCTCTCTTCTGCCTACAGCAAACAAGAGAGAGAACACTTCACATTTAAACCGCAAAGACAGGGAAATGTCACAGAGGTAGGACAAAGACAGACAAGCCGAGCTACTACTTTCTGCAAACTTAAGTTCGAAAAAAAAAAGAATAACAACTAAAAGTAAAGCATAAGGAAAAAAAGGTCATTCAAACAGGCAGCTGAACAGCACTGCTCGATATGTGTCAGCTCGAGAGGCCTGTTTATGACATAGCATCAGCAACTCGGTCTATGAGCAACGAAAACAGCCAAATGTAGCATGCAGCTTCCATACAGTTTGAACATAAACTTGCCTTCTTTTGACATAGAAAAAAGCTCTTTAAAGCGCTAAATTTCACAATGGTTGGCTACAACAGAAACAAAAATCTGATGGATTCTAATTAGCAATAGAAAGTAAAGTCCTGTAGGACTACCTTCCTAAGTATGGAGTTCATTTCTTGGAGTTTAGCTTCCATAACATATTGATAATCATCTGATGAGGTAGAAGAGCTTGGATCGGACTAACAGCCCGAGGGAAAGGAGAGGGACAAATCGAAGAATCAGAACTCAAGACATACACATACACACACCCAATTATAGCACAGAATGACAAAAGAAGAGGTAAACATGGCATTTATGTTAAGAACTCATCAAAAAGCATAATTTGTAATGCATATCACAGGCTAAAAAGGTGTTAGATATGAAGATTATTGACAATATGCAGAAGCTTCACTTTAAATGGTGTGGAAAGTCAGTGTTAGTGTGGTCTAGCCAGTAACAATGTCGCATGGAGTAGCAAAATAAAAATTAAAAATGGGCTTTTTGTTACAATATTATATGATGATTATACAGTACAGTACATTTCACAAAAGACACTAGAAAAGGTTAGACAACACTTTGATAAAATTCTGGCAAATTTAAATGAAAACAGAAAGCTGAAATTTATCCTCACCTAATTTGAATAATGGGATAGGTATTTTAAAAATTCCTGATTTTTTTTTCTAATAATAACATTGTGCTGGTGTTATTGCTGTTACTAATTTGTATCATATGTTGCTTTGCACATCATTTCTATCTTAATTTAATAAGAGACTTGTTTTTAAATTAACATTTGCAGATTATTCTATGAAGTTCAATTTTATCCTATAATTCCTGTAGTCAACAACTCCCTTAATATCAAGTACACTGTATCCTGAGTCTCAGATTTCCTAGAACTTCTGAACTCAGGAAAACTGAGGATTGCTCACATGAACCTGAAGTCACCAGCCTCCCCTTGAGTGGTGTTTCTAGTTGATTAATCCAAACTAGCTAATGACTCAAACAATGCCATATGCCTGTTTTTCAGTTATGCCAGTGTTTATCCCTATTTCCACTTCCAGTTAAGATTACCTCACGTCTAAACCTTGTCATCCACAATTTCAAATCTATTTTTTCAAGACCAGGTCAAAATGCTAATGGTTGTCTTACACTGCAGATGCTTTTAGGAAAGCTAATATGGAAATTGATGAATGCCAGAATGGTTACTTATTTTGAAAACTTCATTTTTACCTCTGGGATGCTGAATACAGAAAATAAGGCCAAGACATTTCTTTGATTAATCAGTACCCATCTGCTTATGCACATTTTGTTACATTATTTTACCTTAATATGCCGAAATCCAAATTTCCATTCAAAATATTTTATTACAGAGAAGCAGCACCGTTTGTTGTTTTTTTTCTCTGGCGTCTGATGTGATCCTATGTGAGAAAGACCAGCAATGAAATCTGATGCAGACAGTGCCGTTAGAAATTTTCTGCCTTCGGCACAGGGAGATAAAGATCACCACTGTAAATCTTTCGTTAGTCCCTGCTCTTTGTAATGCATGTGCAGCTCTGTCGTCTCTGACGTTGTTACCTTTGTCAGGGCTGCTATCCGCTGGGCAAGCTCAGCCTCCACCTCTGGGAGAGTCTCCGCCTTCCTCATGGTCTGCTGCAGCTTCTGTTCCGCAAGCTCCAAACGTTCCTGCAGCTGCCTGTTCTTCTCCTCCATCTAGAGACAGTCGAGGAGTTCCAGACAACACAAAATTAATCTCTAATTATTCAACTCTGTTGAAAGTAAGTAGGTGAACACTCAGACTGTCTATAAAGCACTAAGGAAGCCCACAGGTCTGGCATTAATTTACAACATCCTCTACAAGAGCGTTCTTCCAATGGAATAGTTTATAAGACCAGCTCTAAGTCAACTACTTGGGGGAGAAGAGTAATGATGTACTCTGAGAAAGCACATAAACACATATCAGGTACTGTAGTTCATGTTCTGAGCACAATACAGAGAATTTCCTAATCTCCACCTTATTGCTTTCTTTCTCAGTTTATTTTGGGTTTTGGATTGATCATTTCACAAAACACTACTTTCCTTTTTTAGAAATAAGGAATTTCATACCATTAGTGGACCGTTGTGTGTTTTATATATTGTACATAAAGATTGGCCAATAGCCCTGTGCTGATTGTTGGGCAGAGAAAAATCAATGCCTGCTTTGGAGCAGCACTTTCAGCTGCTAATAAGTGTTCTAATCAGAAGACTGACCACAGCTTTGTCAGTGTTGTGCTATTTAAATTCATGCTGTTCCATTTTGAATAGCTGCTTGAGAATACTGAAATAGCAACAGATGCTCAAGTCTCTACTGCACTGATTCTGGCACAGAAAATGCCCAATTACTATCAGATTAATTAAGGGACCTTAAGTGAAATGTAGACCTGGGCCTTCATCCTGGAGTTTCATATTAAAGGGCATATTAAAGACTATCAATCGGAAAACAGAACTCAGGCCAGTGGAGAGAATACAGTACTATTTCCTAAAGTACCCGGTTTCCTCACCTTGAAACTTCAGCCTCCAGTGGTCAAAATAAAAGCTTTTGGCATCCATAATATGGCAATAAGATCAAGATATCCAATAGTGAGCTAGAGTGAAAAATTAATCAACACTAGACCTTTCCAGAAGCAATGCTATGGCATGTATGTTTTTTATCCAAACAGTCTGACATAAGCCTATTGCACAAAATAAAAAGATTATTTCCAGGGGACCTCCACTGCTCCAAAAAAAAAAATCCAGACAAGAATTTGATTAAATGCAAGAATGACTAAGTACGGAATGGTGCCATAAGGTTCAGAATATTCTAGGCCTAATCATCAAGAAGAACATCACTTTCAAGGAATGGTTTTGCCAAAGTTTATTGGAAAACATCTTCTAAGATGGGTCTGGTTCAAGGTTACTAAGTGTTAACACTGCAAAACAAAAACTGCAAAACAGGACTACATTCCACAACTTTTCTAAACAACAGAATTGATTGACTAGGCTTTTTCAGGTTTTTTTTCTGCATTCTCTAGATAACCTTCTTTATTTTTTACTCTTTGTTTTTCAAAACCCACAAAGCTGTCAAAATGTTTACTTTTAGAGAAAGTATTTTGCATTAAAAACTGAAACTTTTCCAAGATTGTGTGGGAGTCTCATTACATAATTGTTGGAATAACTGTTTACTGTAGAGGCACCAGGAGTAACCCTGTGGAATACATTTATTCAATATTGTTGCAAATAGTTAAAAGTTTCAGCATGTTATATACTTTGATTTAATAAAATAAACATCCCTCCCACACTAACCACATCAATAAGAAGGTGAAGGAACATGTTCAGACTATTACCTAGGTACCGAATACAAGGTCAATATGACATTGAGTAAGTAAAGCCATGATGTTCTAGAAACGAAAGGTTTATTACTGTAAATTGTACATGTAAATTGCAAAACACTATATTTTTATTAGACTGTCCACT